GAGACGCGTGTTGCGAGCATCCTACCCTTGAACCAGTGGGGTCCAGAATGCTTTTGAGTGATTTTGTGCGTCTCACTACCGTCTCACAATCTTACTTTATGTCATCATGCCGTGTTTCCGGTGACCTAGGCTGCTGCAACAGCAGGCTGGAGTGGAGGTCAGGAGCTGCTCCCTGCGGTCCAGGGATTTGTTGACATGAGGAACATACGAAAACAGGAGGGCTAAGCAGCTACTGCCTGGACCCTCCAAGGGGTGTCCAATGGACTACCCCACACTACCTATAGGCTTCCATTGGGCACCCCTTGGAGGGTCCTGGTGTAAAGGTGAAGTTATCCCATCATCCCCTTCTCCGAAAAGAAACCATGGGAATCCCAGGGCCCTTCGTCTGGTCACCCCCAAGCGTTGGGCTTGGTGGTCACTTCTTCCATTGATCCCTCTTGTTGTAGTTGGTTCGATCCAACCTTCTGGGATTCCCAGGGTTTGGTTGAGTGAGTGGTCGCTACTGAGTCCTTGGGTGGTCGCTACAGTAGCCCCGGGGTTCGCAAACGATCCAACACTCAATCCCAATCGATCCAGGCTTTGCAACACAGTCCAGCTGAAGGAGCTACTGGTATCAAGCTCAGTCGATCACCCGCTCGCCAGGAAGAAGACCCTGAGATCACTTGAAAAAAGAAGCGAACCTTCCGTGGTGAGGGTGGGTTGGGTCATTCCAAACTGGAGCAGAGAGACGGTGAGCGGCTCGTGGATCCATCGGCCAGACATTTCTAGTCAGTGGATCCATCCGTCCCATCGACTCAATCCCATTCAATCCATTGGCATCCACTTGGAAGACCGGAGTAAGATGGGCATCGATCTCCCGCGTTCTTCGCGGCAAAATCCGGACTCGGCGTCTCCCCTTCGACTCGGCGTCGACTAGGTAAATCACACGGCTGCAGGAGCCGAGCCTTAGCCACGATGCCACTGATCAGTTCGGAACATGAAGTTCGGAGCAACTTATAAACATAAGGGAGCCATTAAACATCATGGGTATCATAACAAGGATAGCCTATATATATATATATATAGGGTAACTAGGCTACCCTTGGGAGCCATGAAACATGAAACAACCCCCCGACCTCCGAGTCATGTGAAGACGCCATGAAGGCCAGGGGAGCTTCGGCCGGCTCGGCTTCCTCTAAAGGAGTTGCCAGCTAAGCACTACAAAATGCTTAAGAAGTCATTTCTTCCCCAAGGCGGTGTTCCATATAACATGGAGCGGGGGCAGCGTGTCATTGATAAAACAAGATGAATGTAAAACGATTGCCTCGCCCCCAGGGGACGTTAGGGCTTGAATTTATAGCGAGAACATTCTTGCTGAGGATATGTTTGCCATTTCTGTTAACTGCTGTCATTTCTCATAATTGAGCAGCAAACCTTGTGTAAACTGAGGCCAGGGACAGTACTTGCTTTTTCATGCTAAGGTCAGGGATGTCAAGTTATATCCTTGTCCCCTGCAGGTTAGCCTAAGCCATATCTTTAAAGGGCTCTCAGGACCGGAGCTTAGGGATGTCATTTCTGCTTGTGCCGATGGAAGCACAATGAAGGAACCAAAGCTCGAAACTTGGCACCTTTGGTGCCTTCCTTCAGCACAGATGGGAGCCGTTTGGACAGAACGTGAAGGGATGGGTCCAACCTGTCTTCCCCGGCGAGGGAGCTTGGAGGCGACCAAGATCATTGAAACAACACAAAAGGTGGTGATGTTTTTTTTTTTTTCCGGGCAAATGGAAGTCAAATACTTCCTAATGGCAATGAGTAGGAAAGTCAAGTAGACCTTGTTTTGACAAGGAATGACAGAATGGACAAGAGGCAATAAAGGGAATGGTGCATGGATGGATTCAGTCAGAGATTGTGCGGGAACACATTCTTTTTTAAATATACTTATACATACTGTTGCCTTGACAGTCATGACATGAGTCATGTATGTCGTACCAGAACACCTTAGAGTCTAACCGAAAGCACACCTCTCCGTGCACCGTTTGTTTACACGTCTCAGCCGGGCCGTCATGCGTCCCATGGTGCACTGCCAAGTGCCACGTCTGACGTGCAGCCAAAGTTTTGCTGCATGCAGAGAAGGCCGGGGTGACGCCGGGGGGTGAAATGCGAAGATCCACTGCTGAGCAAAAAACCTCTGCATCCACCGCGTGTTGCAAACAGAGCTGGGGCATCAGGGAACCTGAGTTCAATGGCGAAGAAGGACGTTTCACCGATATCTCTGTCATCCTGTATCTTTGATGTATTCCTGAAGATGGGCAAAGCCTCTTATTGTTTGGCTGCTTCGTTGGGGCCATGTGTTGCAAATGTGTTTCTGCAGACAGAAGACAGCACGAAGCTCCCTCGTTCGATCGGTTCGAATCAAGTTGATACAATTGTAGGACCAACAACTCCTAGGGCTCCAACCATATCCTCAGAAGGTGGTTAGACCCCCCAAACCCACCCCAACCACCTTCTCAGGAGGTGGTTGGAGCCCCAGGGAACATACCTTACTTCTCGATGTCAGGCGAGATTGGGACGCCAGTCAGGCAGGTCCGTGGCACCGACTCCCTCCGTGGCAGGCGGGCCGGGAGCGACGGGGGCCGGGACAGCGGAGACGGATGTGGGGCGGGTGAGGTGAAGAGGATTTGTGGGCGGATGTGGGCGGCGAAGTTGCAGGAAAGCAGTGATGTTGATGTTACTGTTTGATTTGCAAAGAAAACCTTTGAAGTATAGGTCATTCATGATGTTGAGGTTGAAGCCGGGCTGGCCAACCGGCCCGGGTGTATCCTTTTTCCCATCCCTTCCCCAGATTTTCCAAGGGCCTTCTGAAGGTTTCTCATTCTTTGGCTATCATGGATGGATTCGTGCATGGATTCGCTGATCTCGCAATCTGGGCTGTGCCCTGCATGCCGCGGTGGTCGAGCCCATTTCGAGGCCGCATGATGCCTGGGTGGCTCGGGGAGTACCAGCATTTTTGGCATTTCTGGCTGTTCGCAGTGCGAGTTCTGGTGCTCTCCGCTCGACACGCGTCTTGGCTATATATGTCACCATGGTGAGATATAGCGGGACTCAAGTCATGATCCATCATCACCGAGGGTGTGAGTCATGACTGGACTCTCAGGGATAGTACGTCAGTACAAAAGCTGAGATCCGTCATTCGCACTGTCACTGGTTGGCCCGGACAGCTGTTAAACACCTTTCATTTCACCAACTGTGTAGGTATCGAATTCATACGTAGAGTTTGCAAACAAAGTGCAGCAAGTTGCGAAAGCAAAATCAGGGTTTCCATAAGTTTCCGTCGCTCTTAGGTTGGAAGCCGTCGATTTTCGGTTGGAGGTCATTGCTTCTAGTTTCGAATCTTTGGGATGTCCTGAAAGGCGATCACGAGAGTCTTGGTGCGTTCGTTTCCTCAAGCTATGGGCTGGACTGCCAAGGTCAGTTGAGATGGAGCCGTGCCCCTGGCGCCGCCAGGCACAAGGAACAGAGGCCTGGTGCCATTTCTAGTGGTAGACACTCCCACCGTCCCTCGCAGGCGAAGCATGGAAAGCGAGGAAAGCAGTGAAGGAAGCATGGAAAGCGAGGAAAGCAGTGAAGAGGTCACCGGATTTCTCAACAAGGCACGCAGAGTTTTGAGTTGTGAAATTAGAAAGTGGTTTCATCCAGTTTGTGGACCAGGGGACCAATTTGTAGATGTTTGGCAAAGTGAGTGTGCTGACGAGGTTCCAGGAGGTGTTGAGGTGTTGAGGAGTGAAAGTTACAGTGGTTTCAGAGGTTCGATGGCACAGACCGAAACCAATGTCCGTATGACACATCGGAGGTTCAGATGTTCACCACCGACCTTGGAGTCTGTGCCATGGGTCCTCTCAGTCCACCAAAAAAGTGATTTCACCCGGGCCCAGTTTGTGTGCTGGCAGAGTTGACCCTGGAAGACACGCTTGATCAACCACCTAATGATGCATGATCGTTGCTCAATCTTGCCCTGGACCTTTCCGATGGTTGACGGGGATTCTTTGGGTATGTCGGATGCACATCCATTCAACTCACATGGCAACCTCCTGGTCACTATAGGTGCTTACCTCGCCTCATCGACCAACATGGTTCTTCAGGAACCAGCTGTTGGTGAATTCACTAGTCACTAGTCCCACTAGTCCCATCCAGGCATAACGTGGTCCTCCTCCAGCGGACCATCGGTCGTGTGAACCAGCGAACTCCGGCGAGGTTGGCCTAGGAAGTCGAGGAGAAAGTCGACTAGACAAGTGTAGGATCCCTTCTATGATTCTAAACCGAGTCAGCATTTGGCGCGGATGGAGCTCCAACAGATTTATATGAGCTGAAACAGATGCAGACTATAGCTGAGAGTCGAGAGTTGATATTTGTTAGAACGAATTCGTCTCCCTGTGTGTGTGTTGCTGTTCCGCGTTGTCAAGTTTGCGCCGAAAAATCACGACTAGAGGCGATCTCATGGATCAGATCTGCAAGGTTTGGGCTCAGAAGAAGACTGAAGAAACACAATGAGACTGCAGATGCTTGCCTTGCTCATTCTGTATGGGGACGTTGTACGTCGTCATGTATAGTAGGCCATTGTCCATCCGATTTGTCGGATTGACTGGCAGCAACCTAACAACGAAAACCTATGACCAGCAAGCCACACAAAAGGCCAGTGCTCCCCAACAGATGCGTTTATATGGAGGCTATCAGAATGAACGGTGAAAGAAACTAGCTGGTGGGAGCTGGACATAGACAGATTCAGAGATGTATCCAGCTGGACGGAGCTGGATAGAGTTTGGAGTATCCACTAAGACATCCCCTTTGAACTAGTGCATCCATCGAATCGACTGCTGGGACCTTGATTTGCAACACAGAATTACTTGAGTTTGATGTGGTTAAAGGTAGTTGCTACACAGAAAACCACCCACATGACTTGGATTTGGGTCGCCACACCAACGACCAACACCTCGGAGCCCGTGGTTTCGCTGCGCTGGGCGCCCATGGCGACGGGGGGACCTTTGGACTCCGACGGGGAGCAGGACGGATGGTTCTGCTGGTGGAAAGCGTCGGACACTGGCAGAAACCATGTCAGTGAGGCCCATTTAAAGGGATACGTAATGGTACGTATGTGGGTCAACAGTAGGCTGAGAAATAGGTGATCAGGATTCATGGATGATAGATGTTGTTGAAGAGACGACCGGATAAGGATGGGTTTGACCTTGTTGGGATGGTGACATGTTGGACACTCGATGATAGATTGCTGCTGACGTGGCTGTGTGAATCTCGACGTTTGGAGCTATCCTTTGGGTCTCAAACATCTTAAACATGATGCACAAAGACACGTGTGTTGGAGCTAGCCTTTTGTGACTGTTCCAAAGGAGTTTTTTTTGTTTGCATTTCAGAACGAGGATCGCGTCCCTGCGACATTGAGGGGGTTCCCCAGGTCTGTGGCGCCGGGAAGGCCACTTTGGGAAAGGAGCCCTGGCGCACCTGGACACCCAGCTGCGTCCGTATTTGGGGAGCCTTACTGATCCAGACTCCCAGCTGCGCATGTTTCTGATGGCTTCGTTCGGTTGTCAGGCGGCCTGTTCCCACGAGTGGGAACAGACAGCAGATGACTCTGAGAAGTTAGAAGCCCCCTTTTTTTAGGCAGGTCATGGATAATTTTTTTTGGGGGGGGGCTTTCCCCAGAAATGCAACATCTATCTAATACAGCCTGTAATTAGGCTTGCTCACCAGTCCAAACCAGCTATCCTCATGACATGGTCAAGAACCAAATCCACTCGCCGATGAAGAGCTGATCCGAAAGCAGTTCCTTCGTTTCAATCCCCAAGAATGCTTTGATGCCACAAAGAGCGTTTGGAGCGTTAGAGATCAGGAACACATCCGCCACTAAGCATGGGAACAGTCATGTCTTTTGGGTCCAGTCTTTTTTGCTTTGGGGGAGGGAAGACGTCTTCCAGCGTTCTTCGGCCGCCGTTCGCTCGGCCGGCCGAGCTGGGGGAACCCCGCTTTTTCGCTCGGCGGAGCTGGGCGGAGCTCATGTCCAGGACCCGCGGATCCGCGCGGACCTGGACAAAGAGATCCAGGCAGCAGAGGAGACGGTGCAGGCTGCCCTCAAACACCTTTTCGTGTTTGGTCGGTGTCCGAGACGGTGTCTGGGAACGACGTTCACGTTGAGAGAAACGTGGCGGGCCAGGATCTTCAGACGAGGGACTCTGGACCCTGTTAGGTAGAGAACATGGAGTGATACTACCAGGACCCTCCTGTCGGGGTGTCTATTTATAGCCCCTAGCTGTCAAGGGGTGTCCATTAACCACCCCTTGGGTCCTGGTATAATACACTATTTATTAACAATAGTTTTGTTTTGGTATGTCCGTGAGAAGTGTTCGAGGGTACTGCGGGGAAAGCTAATTGTATGGAACCTGAAATTGAACCCATGGAAGACCATCTTCCTGTTTGCAGAGCAGTGTAGTGGCATGTTCTAGGTCATTTGTTCTGAAGTAGCAAATGCTGGCACACGGGTGACATGTCCCATGGCCACATGAATTTTCTAGTTTAGTGCAAGCACAAGTCTACACCGATGGAAAAAAATATATTAACTCCAGAACATCTCGCATTGTCGACATGCGAGTGTCTATGCAGAACAATGTGCACTACGCAGACATCGGTTTTGGATCGGGCCGAAATTCAGCGACGGTTGGAGGAGTGGGTCCATGGCATCGGTTGAAATCCATTTCAAGCACGGCTGGATCGCCGCTACAGGGCTGGATACCACACCTTTCCCATAGTGTTGTCAGTGGATCCACGCAAGGATCCCACAAGAGTCTAAGAGCTTAGGAGTTCAACATGCGAATGACAAGTCACATCATCCTTAGCTCTAGACCAGTGGATTCACTTCTCCAGGTTCCTTTCGGCCAAAACCTCGAACTGGAGAGTGCCTCAGTGTTCGACAGTGCAGTCCTTCCCCTTCAGGCGCTGCGCCACTCGCTCTTGAAGGCGGAGCTGCGGCTGAAAGCCCTACGGCAGCGGCGGAACGGCGGCGGAGCGAGTCATCCGGCAGAAAGCCAGCGCTGCACGGCGCCCAAGGCGTGGGCCTGGCAGCCAAGTCAGAAGGAATTGTAAGCAGTATCTTCGTGTATCTTAATTTAAAAGGTAAAGATCTGTATATAATGTTGAATAGCTCTTTTCCGGTATCAAGGACTCTGCAAGGTACAGTATATATACTTCTCTTCCGTGCTGAATACCCTCAACTTGTTCATATTATGTGTGTCGTTCCTTCTATAGGTCCCCTACATCTCCTGTACTGCTTGAGCCCTTGGCTGACAGGAGGGGCTTTCGTCGAAACTGGCCGGGGAAGCCCGGCATACATGGGTCAATTGCGGGGGCGTCTTTCCGAAAACTCGGCGTGATTTGGGAAGATGGCTGATCCTTTTGGTCGGGAGTTTGTATGGTTTGTGAACTGACTCTGACTCGATGGACCTGGAGGTGTCGCCCAGATGAACAAAACGTTCCAAAGGGATTGTTAAGGGCACCAGTCCCCAAGTGAGTGGATGTGACAGGGGCACCCCTACCCCCCAATAAAAGAACCCCGGCATGGAACTGCTGGGCAAGCGCTTTGGATTGTTTCGGTGCCCGGAATTAGATGAAGGTGCTTAGGTGCTTCACTTCTTTCTGTGTCGGCCGTAGTTGGAGGCAACACTTAGAGACCCTCACAGAGCCAACTGTGGAAGAAGCTGATGGTGGAGATGTTTTTCTTCTCCGCTTTGTGCTGCTCCTACGGAGCAGTTTCGGACCGCACGACTGGCCCAGGTGGGCTTTGGCCAGCTGAAGGGCTTGGGAGATTGGCTGGCGCAGCAGAGCAACAGCTTGTGGGCGCCTGAGGAAGGATCTAGGAGGAACTCGTGCTGCTCGTAGAGGAGTCGCATCCACCAGTGGTGAGTATGGAAAATGGCCAAGAACATGCCCACATCCCGTGACCTGCTCCACAGTAATTTCAGGGCGACACCAGCAGGCCCTGTCGGCTCGTGTGACGTTCCTCTACCAGATGGGTGCCACACCAGTCCTAGGCCTCTGAGTCGGTCGTTGCTTCGCCCGGCCGATTTCGTTAAGGCTTCAACAAGCCGAAGCCGCTGGGGAGCAGGAGGCGGGGGAGCTCGACCTCACAGAGTTGAATGTTGGATCCATGTTTTGTTAGAGTTGGTGCGTCATGGCTTCGAAATATTCGTTTGAACCTTACTGGTGGAATGAGGTGGAATGAGTAGAAAAAATAAAAAATAAAACACTGTGAGCTGTGGACTTGCAGATGTTGGAGCTTTCCACTAATTATAGCCTTTTGGGTGAATTGCTTTGTCGGTCGGCTCTTGTCCGGATACACAAAGAAGAACCAGCTCGCGAAGTACAAGCTCGGGGTGATTCCAGTCAGAAGATGTGCTTGCAACTGCGCAACTCAATTGGGTGCTCTGTGTGCATTACCAAACCAATCCACCTTAATTTTGATCTTGATTAGTAAAAAGGTGCCCATAGGTGCCCCTATCATCCGATCTTTGTGTTCTTTGGTGGGCAAGACAGTTGCATTGGTGTGGGCCAATTGTCAGTGTAATACTGCTTTATCTTTCAAATTTCCTAGCATTGACTCCTGTCGACCAAGGCATTGAACTTTTGACTACCAACTCATTGACTCCTGTCAACCTTTCTCTGGGCAAAGCACGTTCTTGGAGAGGTGTTTCAGATTCTTGATCACAAGATGTTTCCACTGATGCCAACGCCAAAGGTCCCCAAACCCTGGCGTTATTGCATGCATTTACATGTTTTCTATCAAGTGGTTACACCTTTCCTGCAGGGTCATTCCTTTTGAGCATGACTGAGTCAACACTGACGAGCTCAATGGGTTCAGTCTGAGTTTCCAGCCTTCAAGGGGCGTCCCAGACTTGCTTCGGCTGCGCACATTCATCTCCAGTTGGGGGGGTTCTAGGTCGGCCTGCCGCAATCGGCCCGATGTATTGAATATGTCTTTCTTGGAGGATTGTCAGCCATATCCAGGCCCAGGCCCGCGATACTCACTGTATTGTGCAGTTGAGCATGGATGTTCCATGAATGGGATTTTGTTGTCCTGGTTTCGCACTCCGTGTTGCATTCATGTTCCATTCACCTGGTTCTTTGTTCCCACAGTAGTTCCCACCAGTCAGGCAGGCAGGTGCGTTTTCACACTGACAGTCCCACAGCTGGCCCAGCCGTCCAGAAGTGATCCAGATGCAAAGCGGGGAAAAACACATTCATTGTTATTGGGAGTGATATACCCAGACACTCCATGTATGCCATATATGCCTACATTGATCCCCAAAACCACCCCAATGTAGGCATATATGGCATACATGGAGTGTCTGGGATATATATATATATAAATATATATATGTAAGCGGTCAGCACAGCCTACGTCTACCTCAAGTCCAGAGGACAAGGAAACCTATGGGGCTCTCCTATGAAGTGGCTGTGCGACTTCGAACTGGCCCGTGGACAGCTTCTTTTGATCCACTTGACTGGTGGCGGTTGGACAGCGAACTGTCACAATGCTCGCATTGCATGCCACCGGGTCCCCTTTAAATGCAATCAAGCCACTGCGTACTCTTCGAAAAAAAAGAAAACAAGCGAACCACGAAACAGCGCGTTTCCAGGTCCGGGACTTCTAGTTACTGTCGTTCTGTTGCTTGTCTGGTTCATGTTGTGAGGTGATGTTGTTTGTCAGTGGGTCTATGTTCTGTTCCTTCCTCTTCTTGGCGGATGCCATGTTGGCGTCTTGGACAATGCGCCACTTCTGGTGCATCTTGTAGAACAGCTGCAACTGCCTCTGCTCGTTCTTGGTCAGCGAATTGCTCAATTGGGCGTCGCTGTGTACCCATCGAATAACCACTGCGTTCCTTAGCTGGCCATGTTTCAAACTCATCAGCTCGATGTCTACTCTTCGCTCTGTACCTCGGGTGCATACGACCTCAGTCTTCATCTTATCGTATACGTTTCTCGAATCGGTTATCAAGCAACCTGGAACGGTGTTCACGGCTTCGTTCACATGTCTTAAGTGCATGGGCCTACCTATCATTTCAGACCATTGAAACCTTGCAAAATACAAGGCATCTTCAGCATTTACTGCTGCTGCTGCTTCACTCGCTCCGGGGCTTCTGCAAACCCGTTGAATACGGGATGAGTTCCAAGCAATCGGGGAAACATGTTCACAAGCCCCTTCGAGCATGTTGAGGTGTGAGGCGCCTATGATATAGCCTTGAGTACTACTGCCATCAATACGGTTCTGGTTTGCGGCGTCGCACCAAACAAACAAACCCAGGGAATCCAAACGGAGTTTGGGGATCAAGAGTTTGTGGTCTTTCATGGCCTTCACTTGACACATCAGCTTATTTGCACGATGCAGGGTCTCTACGGTACTGCGTGAAACTTCTGATAGCAACAAGCTCGTCTCTGCTGAGAAGTGTGGTGCTGTCTGTTGTGCCAACCAGCTGACACCTCCAAGCAAGGTTCGAAGTTGTCCTTTCTCCCAGTCATCGGTTTCGCTGTGTTTGTCTTGTTTTCTATGTGCTCGAATGTTGATGTACTTCAGCTCTTCAATGTATGCTTCTTGGGAAAGTGCATAGGTTCCATCTGCGTAGCGTTCAACCTTGATGCCACCCTGTGTGAACTGTTCGCTTTCCCAATCTGACCATTTGTATTGTCTCTGTATGGACTCCAAGATTGACTTCCAGGCTACGTTATCTTCATTTCCTGAAAAGACAAAGTCATCGACATGTCCTGATATGATGCCTTGAAGTTCGTTCTTGTCCACAAAAGTCCAGCAACATGGGTCTGACCAACAACGTCGAAGTCCCAATGTATGGAAATATTCACTGATCGATCTGTACCACTCAAGCGGCGCATCGACCAGTCCATAACATGCTTTCCGAACTTTTGTCATGGTCTCTGGCGCTAATCCCATCGCCTCCAGAATCTCTGGACATGGGATGCATAGCAACTCATCTGGGTACTCTCGAGACTGCAAGAAGGCTCCAGTGACATCACCCTTGCGGGTCTGGAAGCCCTTGGATGCAGCTATGGTCAGCTGTATCTGTCTCGTTTGCCTGGTGGTAGTTGGTGATGTCGTTGCTCGTCCTTCATACATAGGGTCCTGATAGCCAAGCAACACGGCTCTTGCCTTTGCCTTCCGGCCACCATCTGGCAGTTGCTTCCAGATGAGGATCCATCTCATCCTGACTGCGTCTTCTCTTCGAGCTCGGTATCCCTTCGGCAATGCTTCAAACGCCTTTGCGGCAATGAAGTTGGAGACCTCCACTGCTTTTGCCTTCTGGAAGGCGATGCGTTCTTCTGGGGTCATTCGCTTCTCTGAGACTTCTATGGTCTTTCTTTTCATGGCTGACACCAGGAAGGCACTCAGGTTCTTGAAAACTCGTTCTGAAGCTCCTCGTGTCTGTGGCATGTCAATCTCAATGGATACTGCTGCGGTCTCTTGTTGCCAGAAACTTTCTTCCTCTTCTGTGAGAAATGCTGTCTCTTTGACTTGCTGGATCCATGTTGTTCCCGACTGGAATCCACACGGTGGAATCAGGCTTTGTGCCAGCATGTTCTCATCTGGGGCTTCGTGGAAGTCAACTGATCGCCTCAGCCGGCTACTGGCTGATCCTTCTGGACACACGTCTACCTCGTAGTCAGGTGGCATAGGTCGTTTGCCTCGTTGTCGAACATGTGGTTGCCATTCATGTCGAGGGTCTCCTGCACGTTGCCATTCACTTTCCTCTGGATGTTCTGACCAATCTTCATAGTCATTTCCTCCCAACTCTTCTGCTACTCTCGGGAAGCTCCATGGTTGAGACTCTTCTGAATGCAACTCGTCCAGGATTTTCTCGCGTTCGGAGGCATGTCTCAACTGTTCTGGACAACATTTCAACAATCTCCGGCCTCTGACTAACCATACCGAGGATCCTGCAATTAGATGACCCTGGTCATCTCTCCGGTTTTCTGTAGCAAGGATCCGGGCTGGCCCAACAAATTTTCCATGTGTACTTTTCACTGGTTGTGCATCCTTACTGGTCACTTGTTTCCTCCAAATATACACCAAATCACCTGCTGTAAAATCCAACAAACGATGATGTTTGGAGTTTCTCGCCCTACTCAATCTTTGGTTGTTGTTCCAATCAAGAGACGCCTTCTCAGCTGCTAGTCGCAACTCTGCTGTTCGCTGGTGTTCTTGTGCTGGCGTTTCTGACAAGAGGTCTGGTGAGTTGGCGGTGTCCGGTGTGAAGAATCGTCCTGTGTCGTCTGGTGCTCTTCCCAAAACATGCTGAATCGGTGAATAACCGCGTACAACTTCTCTGTTGTTGAGGACACGAACACATTCCGACAGGGCATCTTCCATGGAAATGTCTGGCATGTCAGAACATACCTTGTACAGCAACTCCTTTATTGCTTGTATACTGCGTTCACATGTTCCCAACTTCCAGTGTCCTTCGCCTGGAATGATATCCAGGAATATTTGATGTTGATCGCAGTACTCCAGCAACTCCCTACTCCGAAAAGCGCCATCGGGGTCTAAACGAAGATTCAAAGGGGTTCCAAAATAGGATATCCAAGCTTCTTTGAGCACTGTGATGAACTGAGCGGCCGATGGGTGTTGTTTCTTACCTTTCGTGACGATTCGGGCCACCCGAAACCTAGATCCCTCATCAACAAACAGCACGAATTGAACGTGTTCACCTGTGTTTGGTTGTATGAAGTTTCCCACGTCTGCCGACAAAGTCGCGAACTTTGGTGGCTGGGGTTCAAGTGCCGCAACATTCCTGGGCTGCGGACGTGCACGTTCCGCGCATACGGAACAGGTGAAGCGCTCTGCTTCCTCAATTATTTTCTTGTGAACCCCTCGGCGTCGCAGCGCCTGAACAAGGTACTTGGTGGGGCTATGTCCGGTAGCCGAATGGAGGAGGTACAGTTTCTTGTGAATTTGGTCTTTGGTAAGTGAACATGGAACTTCCTCGTCAGCGGCGAGGATCCCGGTCAGATCACTCCGACATGAACCGCACTGGAGGTTTGCATCGTGTCGTTTTCCGTCTTCACAAACACACATCAAACCACGACCAAACAGATCACAACCCTCAAAACAACCCTCCAGTTCTTCTCGAATCTCTTGGGGCGCGTCTCCTTGAAGGATGGTCTCACAAACCCTCCTAGCGAACTCCGGCGTGTAAAAAGCTGTTTGGCGTGTCAAAGAACCCTCACAGCTCACGTGTGTCGTTTCCTTCTTACAAGCACATGGGAGGTCCATACGTTGAGCCATGTGGTAGCTAGTAGACATGAGCTTCCAACCCTTAGAGATAAACCTTCCGGCCTGATCCCTTAGGTTCACCTGACAACCTCTAGTGATAGCAAAATGCACACGGTACTTTCGCATCAGGTGCTGCACCAGAGGCAATCTCCATGCCTGGCATGTCTGAGGCCACTCCCAGGTCACGTGGAGTCCTCTTTGGATGCAGTATTGAAACACAATCGCTCCACCTACGTATTGTTTGAGAACTTCACGGCGTTTTTGTTCCAGTTGTTCCTTCTGTTCAGGGGTTCTCTGGTTAATATTTTGCATGACCGAGTAGGGGCTACACTCCATGGACAGCCAGGTGTGGTATGGTCGTTCACGATCGATGCGGTCCAAGATCGAGCGGACACCGTCATTTTTGCTCAGATCGAAGTGGTTCCATATCGAAAGTCGCTGTGCGGATTTCTCCGAGCCAGTTATAGTGTGCATGGTGCTACTCAACAAACTCTCCTGGCTACAAGCGATTTCTAACAAAACACACCTTTCGTGCAGGGCCAAGGATTAAATGGTTTCAGGCAACATGGAATCTGTTTTCTGAGACAAATGTCGGTTCATTCCACTACTCAAACGTTTCGCAGAGCTTGCCTGTTCCATCCCTTCTGAGACATAACCATGTCTCAAACTATGGTCGCTGCAGCTAAGGTCTTTGCTAAGGCCCAAACTCACTGAGGCATCAGCTCGAAACTCTGGTCCGTGACCTCCGAAGGAGCTGATCGTTGACCCTTGCGGGGCAACTCTCCCTTCAGGGCTGACATCTCCTCCTTGAGCTCCACCACGGTGTTGGCCAACATCTGGATCATCTCGTGTGTCTTGTGATCGGATCCGGGGTTCGGCTTCTCGTAGCCGGATGATGTCCCTGATGGTCCGGTCATGCTCTTCTGGGTTGTCGGCACCGCTGGATCTGTGTGAGATGAAGCTGCTGCCTTTCGTGGTGTGGCAATGTCCACTCTCTTCTTTCGCTCCTCCAGCCAATTGGCCAGGCGGTGAAGTCGGGGGCAAGCATCGTCCCCGTTCTCCCAAGAGGTGTCCATCACCCATGTGGCGTAGGAGCGATGACTGATCCAGATCTCTTCGTAGCTCAGGCTGGCGTGCTTCCCGAACCCAACTGGGTCTTGGCCACTCGCTGGAGCTTGGTCGTAGATGGCTGCCATGCCCTTCTGCATCAGGACCTTGATGGTCTCGGTCCCGGTCAGGGGCACTCGCAGAGTCTTGGAGACATGTTCCACCAGCTCGTGCTTCAGACGTTGAGCACGATTCAGCTCGACCATCATCTGCCGGAGTGGTGTCCGAGTCTTCTTGGAATCGAACTCGGGCAGGCCTTGCTCCACTCGGAGCTCGGAAAGGCGGGTCTCGAGTTCCAGCACGGTCCATTGTTTTGGAGGAGTCTCTCCCAGGTCCTTCAGGGCCTGGATGAGTTCTGGCTTCTTCATGGTGGGCATGTCCGCTGGAAATCGAGGAAGGCTGGATTGTCAAAGAGTGGTTTTCTGCCTCTCGAGCTGTTGCGGCTGCCGCGTGTGTGGATTGTTCATGTGTGTCATGTAGTTTGTGGTGGTATTTGTCTTGTGTGGTATCACAGTGTGTCGTTTGTGACTGTCCCTTTCCCTTCAACGACGAATCGACAACACACTGAAAATCACTCTCTTCAAAAACAACACGTCTTTCTTCTTGAGTTTGACTGTGGCTTGACTGTTCACCCAGGTCTGCAGCATACTGGTCCTCTCTTTTGTCGGCAGACGGCGACGAAGAGAGGAGTTGTCCCTAAATCATGTCTTTCAAACTGCAGACGGGCTCCTTAGCTGGTGAGGAGGCCTCGTACCAATCCTGGGTGAGGGGAATCAACTGATGGCCTGAACTTGACTGTTCAAGCTGAATTATGCGGCCTGGATCGAGCTTTCGAAAGCAAATCATATCATGCTCAAAATCGATGATAGCTCCCAGGGCTCGCAAAGTCTCTATCGAAAATAAAATTGGTCCTGAACCCTTATCTAAGGTGTGGACTTTCAACTGGCCGGACCGGCCACCGGCCTGGATGGACATCCATGCCGTCGACAAGCACTGGTCCTTGGAGGAATTTCCGAAGCCAAAAACTGGCCTCTGAGTGGTGTCCAGCTTTGAGAGCCCATCCTTCCCGCTCTGCTCTTGGTTGAGGCGCATGAGGTGTTCCAAGGCCACGACAGAGCCCAACGTGCGTGTTGCACCACCGTCCACGACCGCTTTTCCTTGTAGGACAGCTTGTTGTGTCGTGATCTTTTCATTCGTGTAGTCGGTGGCGAGGACCTGATCTGTCAAGCATATGAAGGGAGCTTGGTCGTCAGGTTCATGTTGGCTCTGGAAGCTCTTCTGCTTCTTGGGACATTCATCTGTCCTGTGTTGTCCTCCGCAACTCAGACACCTCGCAGAGCTTGTACTCGGGTTCTCCTTTCTCGCATGTCCGGGTGCACCTTTTCCGAAAGATCGACCTGGATTGCCGTAATACTGACGGCTCAACTTCACATACTGCTGTCGTGCCCGGGCTTCTCTCAAGGTCCTCCGACCTTTCTCCATCATAGCCAAGGCCTCCTGAGCATCTAACTCAGCTTCATTGACCAATGCCAACCCATCGGCATTGAGTCCTGTTGAGGCCAAGAGGCTCAGGTCCGGGCTTTCCAGGTCTCCGGTGAATGGATCATGATCTTCTTCTTCCACCGTCCAGGCTGTCGCTCGGCCACCCTGATCTCTCTTCCTGAGGTCTTCGTCGTTCCACTGGCAGCGTAATTCTTGCGCCACTCTGTGGAATCGGTAGTCATTCTTCAGGGCGGACTGGATCATATTCTTCTCATTGGTGTCCAGTCCGGCGTCTTGTAAGAGGAACCAGCCTTGGACAAAGTCGGGTAGAAGTTGCACCCTGGGCTTAGTTTCGAAGTCTGTGTGCCATGACGTCTGGCTTGGTTGCCAGTCACGGTCCTGCCATTGAGAGTCATTCCAATCCCACCCATGAGCTCCCCAGTCTCGCCAAGTGTTCCAGTCCCATTGGTTTGAACCTGACGGAGTACGTTGCCCTGGATCTCCGGCTGACTCATTTCCTGTGGATGGAGGAGCAGATTGTTCCTCCTGGGCATCATGATATACTGGATCTTCTGGCGGTGTCAGGGGCTCTTCAATGGCCGGAAGACTTCCTGCCTTGGAGCGTGGGGCATAGTGACTCTGTGCCCTCTGAAGAGTCTGCTCAGTACGGGCATAGAGCTCTGCTTTCCGAGTGATGTACTCGTTCATGGATTCATTGCGCTTCCTTCGGCTCTGTTTGAAGTATCGGTTCATGTACTCACTCATCTCAGAGAGCTGCGGCAGGCCAAGATGCTGGCGAAGGTGAGCTAGCAGGGTCTGAACCCCTCCATTGTGGGATAGCCATCCTGGACGCTTCGACATGATGAAGCGTCTTGCAGTGCCTGACAATTCATTCATGAGTTTTGGTCCACACAGGTACCGCTTGTGGTATGGCACGGTCTGTTCCCAATGCTCCGCCAGCTCACTATATTCTTGGAATGTGCTCGCTGAGCCATCCCATTGGGGCACACCATCCTTGCTGCGCTCGATCGCTGTCATTGCTCGTAGGGGTCTAACACCTACAGCTATACAAATCAAATCTACTCGGATGCCACCTTGGGCTCCGCTACCATGTAAGCGGTCAGCACAGCCTACGTCTACCTCAAGTCCAGAGGACAAGGAAACCTATGGGGCTCTCCTATGAAGTGGCTGTGCGACTTCGAACTGGCCCGTGGACAGCTTCTTTTGATCCACTTGACTGGTGGCGGTTGGACAGCGAACTGTCACAATGCTCGCATTGCATATATATATATATTTAAACTCTGAACATATCTGAGCATATCTTTACCAGAAGAGCGAGATCTCCGGCTTGGATTTTGCGGCTTTTGCTTGGGCATAATACGAGGGTGGCATGGTGCAACTGGGCATGGTGCCCGTTTGGTGAAGCTCACAAAGCCACAAAGCATTTCCTTTCATCATTTCACCATCAAACAAATCAACACCAATTAATATGTACTTCCAGCATATATACATATTAACATCTATTTACATACAATCCTTGCCCGTGTCATAGATGTGCTCATTCCATTTCAATCTGGACATCTCGCCCGAGACCCCTCATAGGCGCAGCTCCGCACCCGGCGGCGGCAGCAGTTGGAGCGACAGAGCGAGGAGCAGCTGCAGCGGGACGCTGATGCGGAGAGCGAACGTGTGGTGCCCGCGGGTTGGTCGACCTCGAAGCGCGACGCTTCGTGGGGCGTTGGGTTTTCGGTTGGTTGGTCGATGGGTTGGCATGGCTGCAGGTCCAAAATAACCCACAATGCCTTCCGAGAAGAGCGTTTGCCTGCAAGCGAGTGTGGCCTGCAGAAGTCAGCCCAGCTGGGTTCCTCGCAGGATACTGATCCAGCAAGCGCTGCAAAAGCCTCAAAGGCCCCGTGTCAGGCATGCAGCCAGCAAGAGTTATACAAAAGTCTGAGCGTTCGAGCGTTTGACTACTTACTTGTTATTGGCGTCCAATGGAGATCCCCAAGTATAGAAGTAGTAGGGATATGTAGTGTTCTCTATTTTGACAACAACCACCGACCATCTCTGGCCCAACCACCACCAACCACTCTCAACTGGATTGGATCCAGCGAGGTACGGCAGCACGCGCTGGATTTTCTGGATCAAACCAAGGCGCCGTGCGCGGGGTCGTGCCATGCCTGGTGGTGTTGGGTCGGGGACCTGAGGCTTCAGGGAACTTCAGGGAGTGGATATGGCTGTAGGAACATGTGTGGCCCTGCAATTGGTTTGCACTCGTTTTGACATGTGGGACACATGCGTCTTTACATGTCCATTTCATTGTTTGATATTTTTTGTCCAAGTCAGCATGCACACGTGTTGTTCAGACGAACACCATGTGGGAGTCACTGTTTTGTTTTTTTTTTTTCGGAATTCTTTCGGTTTGCCATGGTCTTGTAGGTTGGCTAGGTCGGCAAAGCAAGTTTCGTGCTGCCTATGTTATGCTCAAGCATACAGGCAGCACACGGTTCATTTGTTGAGCAAAAGAGCCGGGCGCACAACCGCTGCCATTTTGGGGACATAACTGAACAGTAGAAACTTGCAGGTCCGGCCGATTTGCAGAAGCATTTTGACAAGTTGGGTCAACAGTCTCTTGACGAAAATGTTGGAAAGAGCATCTAAGTTTCGAAGAACAACACTGTCACACGCGGGTCCATGCCAGAAGGCAAGGCCCTGCCAAAACACTCTACTTTCACATCACATGCGTTTGGCTTCAGGATGACGGTCCGCCATTGGACGTGCAAAATGCTTCTGACGTGAACAAGCTCTTTTTTCAGTGGCTGCGAGACTTTCACAGCAGCTTGACGATGCAGTTGGTGCGGACCAATTTACTCTCACCTTGGGATTGGCAACTCACAGTGTTTTGGGACCATGATATCCGACAAGCCTTTGCGGATTCCCCATGTGAGGTTCTATTCCCTGCGTTGCTGCGTCGTTAGGGCGCGACTGTGCTAGCAGCAAAGTAAAGTGAACCTTTAACTTACAGGATTCAATGTCAACAAGACTTCCTTGTTCATCTAAGAAAACCCACACCACGTGACAGGTGAGGCTGGCATTGAATACATGGTCCATTTATGTCCATCTATCCCAAACACTTATAGTCTCCAATAATTATCCAATATTTACATCCATTGACCCCAGGTCAACCACCCCAACTGATCGGCATCTATGACAGTCCCATTGGTGGTGTTTGCAGAAGAAAAACAACCGATTCATAATGTTTCTTGCTCAGGCGAGTACGATGACGCCTGGTTCGAGCAGAACTTGATGCGAATCGATTTGGCTTTCCGCCACATCTTCGAGGTGCAGCGGTCCATCGGCGTCCGAATAAACAGGTACCGGCAGAGGTGTTGGGTGCAGCGCAGTGAAAACAATTGCTCAATTCAATGTCTTTTTGGAGGGGGTATTACATGAGATGACCATGGGTTACCCGGTTATAGAAACCAGGATCCATGATTTATAATATAACTATGTTTTATTGTATGTATTTGACTAACTCTTTGGCTCAATTGGACACAGCTGCAAAATACGAAGTCGGAATCCCCACGGCGGATGCCACGTTCGCCACACTGCGACTGGGGATGCCACCATCCTCGGTCCGTACCGAGCTGTGTACCGAGTGGTGCGGAGGTCCCATGCCGTTCAAAGATCTTTGGGCCAAGGGTTTTTTGGGGGACAGAAGGAGGTGGACAGGTGTTTTCCATTTTCTACGATCCTTTTTTCAGGTGGTTTCCAACGATGTAAGCCCAAAGCATTTTCTCCAAGATGCCAAGATGCCCAAGATGCCTTGGACCGGACCCAAGTGGAAGTTGAATGAAAGCTAAGGTCCAAGTGTGCAGTGTTGCGGTCCCTTTGAGTTTGCACACGATCCTTTTGAGTTTCCATTGACGGTCCGGTTTTGGGGCCAGTCAAGACCATCCAAGACCTCTAGGATGGACTACTATGGCAGATAGCACTGATAGCACATGGAATGGATAGAATTGTTGCGGTCTCTCTTCAAGGAAGAAAGAACTACTGCCGTTTGCTCCAACTCTGTTTGGTAATGTTGGATCTTGATTAGTAAAAGGGACCTCCCCCTCAAACAAATGGGGGAGCCTCTATTAAAAAAATTACCACCAAAACAAATCTGGGTTCCTAGGAGGATTCCTTTTGTAATTGATTGTAGTATTCATTGTCCTTTCTCTCTTTGTAGTAGTAGTAGTAGTAGTAGTAGTAGTAGTAGTAGTAGTAGTAGTAGCAGTTGTTGTTGTAGTTGTAGTTGTTGTAGTAGTAGTAGTAGTAGTACGAGTAGTAGTTGTAGTTGTAGCAGCAGTAGCAGTAGCAGTAGCAGTAGCAGGAGTTGGAGTAGCAGTAGCAGTAGGCGTAGGAGTAGGAGTAGGAGTAGTAGTAGTAGTAGTAGTAGTAGTAGTAGTAGTAATAGTAGTTGTAGTTGTAGTAGTAGTAGCAGTAGTAGTAGTAGTATGAGTAGCAGTAGTAGTAGTAGTTGTAGTAGTTGTAGTAATAGTAGTTGTAGTTGTAGTAGTAGCAGCAGTAGTAGTAGTAGCACTACTTATAATACTGTGGATCAACTGTGATGAATTACTATTTATATTTGTCTTCAGGAAAAAGCTTTGCACAATTGAGGACCCTTAAAACAAATTCATTATTGAGGATCACGGGCCTTCCTGGTCTACTACCTTGAAAATTTGTTTAGGAGCAATCTGTTCATAAAGGATTGATTAGGGAATTGATGGTTTTGGGAAGCTGTCAGTTTTGAAGAACTATGGAAACCTATACTTATCAACACTCTCAGAAAGCCAACCATTAGCTTAGTAGTATTAAGAATTAATATTTCTATTTTCCTAAAGGAAATATACTTAACCCTAAATATTTTAAGATAATAAACACTTAGGATCCAAAAAAAATTGGCATAATAGAGGACCCTTAAAACAAACAGGGTGTCAAGAATTATGTTTCCACAATTTTGCATTATAGAGGGCCCTATTACTAATCAACGTCCAACATTACGTCCGATGCAATTGATATTCTTGGACAAACACATCAATGTATTGCCGCATGTATTGCATGCTAGGGAAGTTGCAAAATGTGTGTCCTTTACAGGCCACACTTGTGAATGATCCGCACCCCCTTTTGGGTATGACACCATTGTACACCAAGAATTTAGTGCCTACGTAATTCAAGGCATCAGGCCAGTCAGCTTCAGCCAAAAGCTTATCGATCCAAAGATATGGTTTAAATATGTTTGCAAAACGCCTTTTGAAATTTGCGCTTTCTTGAAGTGACCGTTCATTCACTGATCCTAAAGGTAACCTCGCAGCAACCTGTTTGATTTGAAACAGTAAATCAATGGTTTGGGGAGCAGATTGGCATGGTTACTTCTTGTAGGCCGCAGTAAATGAAATGCTTTCTCAGAATGAACGATAGTTTGCCTACGACTGATTCTACCTCAACTCTCAGATTCAGATGGTCGAAGGCTAGTACATTTGGATTCTTCAGAGGAAGGAACAAGTACAAGATCATACTAGATTTGATTCTAACAGTGACTCTTGGTGCAGTTGAATGTACCCTTGTTCTTGCCATGTTCTTCCTTGTTTTCTCCGTTTTTCACAGGCAGCACTCCGCGATTGGTGCCTTGTCTGGTTTGGGAGGCTGTGCTTGGCAACAGCTTGGGGGGCGGGGTGTCACTCATTTCAGAAGAGTACCTGGAATGGATTCTTTGCGCTTACTGATCTGAAGCACTTCTCTCAACGGAGGGATCACTGGCAACTGCGGCAACTGCATCTCAGTACCTGGAACCCGAAACTCCAGTTGGCTCGGTGGAAGCGAAGAAAAACATCCACCAGACTCGACGGCGTTTTGGTCAAAGACCACTCCAACGTTGGAATCGCAGTGGTACTTTGCTAAATTTCAACAACTGCACACCAGATGTTCAGATCACCTGGATGTTACAGAATCTTATCAAATTCCCAAATGTCTCGTCATTGCCTCTCAGGATTTATATTTCCGGCACCAAAGCCATGACTCAATCATCCCTTCAATCCATCATGAACAGCTGAATATCCCAAGGCCAACCTGATCTATCCTGCACCACCCAAACCTCAAAAAAGGTTGAAACTCCTGATGCTCACCACGTCCCACGTCCCATCCCTCACCACCACCGACCACCCAACCCAGGCGACCAGCGACCAGCGGTGTCGGCCCACGATCCACGAAAAGAAGCGGTGTCGGCGTCGAGCGTGTTCGCGTCGCGTGTCGGGCCCGGAGCTCCGGGCCGGGATGGAGTCCTGGAACTTTCGTGTTGAACCTAGGCAAGTGCAGGAACCGAACTCTACATGACTTTTCCTGGTGCGTAGCGAAGGGTTCTCGTTGAAGTCTGGGGGTCTAGGAGGGTCTTGCAACCGTTTGATGCTGTTTTGAGGTGTGCTTTCTGTGCCGTGAGAGGGCAAGGCCACCATGATTTGGACCCTCTCACACACACCAGGGTTTTGAGGGGCTCCGATCACCATAATTATATATATATTATATATATGTATTTATATTGTATTAATATATAGTTTAATTTATGTAGGACAGATGATATTTCAACCCCCATAACATGAAGTGTTCAATCCATGTTTGGAGGGTTATGAATCAAGAGTCTCCAGGGGATTGAAGGATCGGGACTGGCTGCTGGTTCATGGGATGTGCTCGGATCGACTGACGATGTGCGAGGCCACGGCGCCGTTGGTCTTGCTTTTCATGGCCATCCTCTATGGCCTGGAACCTGAGGGAAGTCTTTTGTAGGTGCAGCCAGGCAGTGGGGAGCTAGTCCTGCTTTGTTGCGGAGAAGGGGGTGATTTGTTGGTTGTTGAACCCGATGTCAATCCTCGATCTTCAGGGGAATATGTTGAATTTTGTTGCCCTCCATCCAGTGGATGCGAAAGAAACCCGAGCCGAGAGGCTCCACTGAAGTCTGGTGGTCGAAGCACGAACGGACGACCGCAGCAGCTCCAAGCTCTACGGCATGGGGAAGAGCCTGCTCATCAAGGGTCGTTGGATGAGATCAGAGTCTCTTTGGGCACTCCAAGCATCTCCAAGACTATTTGGGCGGTATTGGACACTCACAATGTATCCGGCCGTCGGATAAGACGTCCAGCCATACATGCCCCTGTTTCATGTCAAGAGCCGGAGAAGACTCACTTTATCTCACTTTGAATTGGAGACTATCAGCGTCTCTCTCTCTCTCTCTCTCGCTCCCTCCCTCTCTGTCTCTCTCTCTCTCTCTCTCGCCTCTCTCTCGCTCTCTCTCTCTCTCTCTCTCTTTCTCTCGTTTGCTTCTTCGGAGAGCTGCCGCGCGAGTATGAACCGGCGAAGCGTCCACTTGACCCGGTTTCAATCTAAAGGACGAGCCATGAATTTTGCTCAGTCCGGACGAACACCATGAGCTTCGGGGTCTTTGGGATCTTAATCTCTGTCGAGCTTTCCTTTCCCGAATCAGGACAGCGTCGGACTCGTGGCGGCGTTTGACGCATGGCACATGCGGCGGCTGAGGTGGAAACGTGCCCTTGCTCAAGACGCCACGTGGTTGCAACATGGGGCTTCTGATGGGCTTCGAAGCAGGCTTTGGTTGAAGGAACATGAAGGAACCTAAGAGTCTTTGGACTCTGAAGGATTTTTGATCTCGACTCAAGATATAGACTCTATAGACATCTCTACACTCTAGACATTCCTGCACCATGCGAGGTCACTTGCTTTGTTATGTGTCCATTTGTGAGACAAGGTATTATTTGCTTGGGTTATTTTGGGTGGCGGTTGACTTTGGACATGGGCTTAGGCGGCTTAGGGCTTGTTGGACAGGTGAGATTTGATCCATCTTGATCCGTCAGATCAGTAGGCAAGGGGAGCACACCCCCAACCATCCCCCAACTCAATTCACTTTCATCATGTTTCATCCTCTAACCTTCCTTGTGCTCGTTCCTAGAAGCAGCTCTCTCTGTGCAGGGTGGAGCTTGGCGCGCCCTTGCAACTCACCGGCCCTGAGCTCTTGGCACTTCGCTTCCTCACCTCCACGGTTCGCCCCGGTAGAGACCGACCCGGGGACCGGGGACCGACCGGGGATGCGCAGGGAATCGGATCCCTCCGGGTCGCGGTGGGGTGTTTGGGAAGGATGGTTTTCCTTTTGGATTTTTTGTCCAAAGACATGCATTGTGGCTAAGGTCATGCCTTTTCGGGTAGGCCTATCAGATTCAACAGGATTCAACTAATTATTGATTTGCCATACTTGTCAGGTCCCATCGGTTCGCTCTTCCTGGTACCTCCTTCGATTGGTGTGTTTTTGTTGTTGTATTGCCTCCGACAAGCACATCGAAGCGCTTTCAAACTTCTGTTGGTAGAGGAGGTCCTCTCGCCACACCCCCCAGGATTTTCCAAGAACCATGTCATTCACCATGATCCACTTCCATGTCGTAGCTAGTAGGTTGTAGATTCCGGTGGTGACCATGGGAGGTGCAGCCGCCAGGTGGTCTCCGTCCCCTTTGTGGTCACGAACTGGAGGAAGGTGACATGACCAGAAGGGCAGCTTGCAAAGCGGAGGAAGGTGAGGACGGCGTAACTAATATACCATTTTCAGGATGCGGTTCGCCAATCTCATGTGTTTGCCTATGTTCGAACAGCTTCCAAAGTCCCGTTCTTTGAGTTTGGGGTTTGGGGTACGTTTGACATCTCTTGACCAATTTTGACCAATCAAATGCAAAGGGCTTGGTGCCTGGGATCCTTTCCCAGACCATCCATGAGTTTCTGGCCTATGACTCCTATGAACCCAACATTGGGATGGTTGAAACATGTTGAAACCTAATCACTGAAGGCAGAACAATTCCAGTCCCATGGATGTTCTGGGTTTGGGATGCGCTCCCAGACTCGCGCTTCGAGCGGTGGATGGTGAGCTCTTCACGGTTTGGTGGCGCCTGTTTGGGGAAAAAGAAGTAAGTTTGTCATCGCCATCCTCCATGAGACTGGAAAGATGCTAGTTATATACTGTATACATTGGGGTGGTTGAAAAGGGGTCAATGATGGTCAATGTATGGCATGGATTCAATAAAATACATGGAGTCTTCGGGATCTATGTTACATCTGGTTACATCTACTAAAGTCTATCAAGTTCTGGAAACCGAGAACCTACCTTTCTTCAGACTACAGCAGTGGCCCGGGGCAGTTCTACCAACGCCTCCGAAGTGATTCAGGTGCTTTGGTAGACAACTGAAGCTGCATACATCGGAGGAACATTAAAGACACATAAGATCACATAAGAAAAACTTGGGTTTGTCCAAACTTACCTGTAGCAGGCAGTAAACAATTCGATCGATAGTCTAGTTATCAATATTTTTTTTTAATGAAGAAGGCCTTTACTAACCATCATCATCCACTTTTGCTGGCAATAGCATAGACCCGGGGAAGTTCAGCAAATCCATGTCGGACTCTGTATTACGTCGTGAACCGAGCTGTTTTTGGTCACCAGACTTTCAGCGAGTTTAGTACTAAGAATATATAAGAATCATGAAGAATCCATGTATTTACCTACATTCACCCCAGTCACCCAAGAGCTACCCCACCCCAATGGTCAAAGATTCCGGTCGACTCCATCACCCCTGTAGGTCAGAGCTGTTTTGATCCCCTCCGTGGAGCTGGCGATCTGGCTCTTTGCAGGATCGGGCGTCACGTCGGCGTCCACGTCGGACGTCGAGGTGATCGTAAAGAGAATCCACCGTCAAACAATGAGGACGAAGGAGGATCCGTCAACATCCGGAGCACGCATGTCAGCCGGTGTTCGCCATGTTCGCCAATGATACGATATGATATGTATAGACTGTCATCGTTCAGGTGTGTTCCGGGGCGTCAGGCCCGAACAAGCCTCCTTTTCATGTGTTCGTTACGGTATCCCGCGTCTTTTGGCAGACATGCACACTCTTTCAACGCCAATTTTGTGTAACAATGCAATGAATCTATGTCAATTCCGCTGCGAGTCTTGTGAGTTTTGGACTTTGAGCATTTGGAACACGGCTATCTCAGGGCTATCTCCTCTTGTTTGGTGTGTTTTGCGTTGAGTCCCCAGCTTAGCCAACGGTTGCAGGTTTCCGTGTCCGCTGAATATGTCATGGTGGAACCCCATTTCATCCCAGCGGTTGGTGGAGCGTTTCATGGCAAAAAATCCATGTATGGGGTATATTTACCGACCTACATTCACCCCAGGTCAACCACCCCCACCCCCAATGTATGTAAATAAATATACATGGATGGTCTGGAAGTGGCACAGAAGACATTCAATTAGACTAGTGAAATCAGATGTTGCATGAACATGAGAGCAGCGTTCAAAACCTGAATGCAAGAACCACATGATCCGATTAAACTGCAAGACTGTCGCGTAAGCTAAAGTCTGCACGGCGTAAGGGTTACGTAAGGTTCGGTGGAAGCCAAGCTTGGGACACTCGATGCGCAAGAGGTGCGTAAGCAATTTTGAGTGTTCTAGTTACACAGCCAATATATGTTTTTTTGCTGAGAAACACTGCAAGCAGAAAAGGTTTGTGGATTCAATCTCTCAAAGGCCCTGTTTGCAGGGGTCGAGTGGCCCACCGATGTTTGAGTGAACCGACACATACCGACACATCATACACATCGCGGCACGGCGGCACACGGTACGGAATGCTATTAAGTCATCCCCTCCATGAGAGGCAAAGGCGAACCGACTTCTGGAGCCAAATCTCCGTGAGTCGTCGAACGTCCATGACCGAACGTCCGGCGACCGTCACGAGGCTATGTGCTGCAAATCTTGGTGCGGCCTGGCCTGTTTGGTGGACGGTTTGCCAAAGCACCGCTCCGAGACTCGCTGCGAGTCGAAGGAGCTGGTGGATGAGGTTTCCAAGACTCCCTGCGGGTTTTGATTGGGACTGAAGTCAATTCTGGATGCTCGTGGTGGTTAAAAATTGTGCCCGAACTCCACGGCCCCCTTTCCCCCCCGAAAAAAGGATAAAAAAGGAACAGCGCCTCCATGGTCCGACCATCCAAGAAACCCATCACCCATCATGGCGTGGCCGTAGAGACCACCGTGCCGTGGCGTCCGGACGCAGCGACCCTCCGGTCGCCAGGGCTTGGAGAAGACCTCGGCGTCCACCTGTGCCGTGGCCTCGGCCCTCACCGGGCCCTTTGTGCAGGCGGAAAGGGTTGGGGTCGGTGCAGCAGGTCGTGCTGTTTGGGGTCCGTTCGGTGGGGTCTGCTGAGTCCGGGGTCCGGGAACCGTTGAGAAATGTTGAGAAGGTGGAGGTGAGAAGGAAGAGGTTTGAGATGGCCCCAGGTGGAGGTTTGAGGTCATTGGCCGCAAAGATGGCGATCCCGGGCATGTGGGTGGCCACATGTTCACAGGTTCAGGCAGGCTTCGAGATGGTAAACAGATGTGGCCACAGGTTTACCTGAATTTTGATGAGAGCCCCTTCACCTTCTGTACACCCCCTTTTGGATCTTTTTGGAGTCCATGGACATAAAGAAATGGACAATGTGCTATAAAAACATATTTTTGCACTTGGGAATGAATGGGTTGCCTGAAGCTCACGTGAATGGATCTTTTTTCAGATTCCAAAATTTCCAAATGAGTTCCCTTCTCGAACCCAATGGTATCAGATTTCAGCCGAAGCAGGTCATGTTTCATTTGCATCAAGTTTCTTCATTGCTAGTGCATAACAATGGTTATAACAATGGTTATAGTGCACTAACCCATGTCCCAAAAAAATATGTGCCATAACAATGTCGACCCAACCCGCCCATCTGGAATGCACAGAGTGATATTATATTTGTCCTGTACAGTTGATAAAGCGAAGTTTCCTAGAAATCAATCTTCTCAAGCAGAAACTTGAGCATGCGGAGCATGGACATTCTGTAGTTTTCATGCTTGCCGGCAAAGCCAGTTGTTAAGAGATCAAACCTTGGGTTCAGACAATGGGTCGGTACAAGCAACAAGTTCTGATTTATTATTTCAGTTCAGATGGAAGGCAATGATGTCGGTTTTTGAGCTGCTGTAGCCGGTCAACTCAAAGATTGATGGAAGGCAATGACTTCATCTAGGAGTCTATGGCAATCTACCACCTCACCCCGAGGTTCTTTCATCACTTGGTCGGGTGCAATGACACTTCTCACCCACGCGGGACGATCAACACAATTCTGTGTTGGTCGTCATAGATTCGCCCAGATCTTAGAGTTGCTGGTGGATGGCAAGCAGATCGCCCCCTTCGTCGCCCTTTGCTCGGCCGGCACCTTTTCAGGCGCGGGTGGCTCACGAGCACCCGTGGTGAGCAGGATTGGGAACCCTGGTGTTTTTCGTACTCAAAAAAGGGTACAAGTATCTAGTATAAAAGGACCTGTTTTTGATAGGTTCATGTTCCAATTTTCTGGGTCATTACTTTGGAGGGTCCAGGCAGGGAAGGTGATAAGAGACTGCTTTGCGAGCTATATTTCACATCCCATCCGAGGATGTTTGCTGGTGATGGACAGGGGGACACCTGCAACATATTAAACATGTTTACTTGCCAGATCCACAAACCTTAGTTCCAAAAGGTAAACTACTGTTGTAGCTACTTCCCCAGTATATGCTATACCCGCAAAGAAAAGTCCCGGCAAAATTGTCCATGGCTTTTCACGCAGCTGAGTATGGCTGCAAGCGTTTTTGCTATATCTATAGGTGCTTCTCTCTCGTGCACCAGACCAGACCCATGATGAAATATCATTGCATACCTGAGAAGCATCTATAGCAAAATCCTTGTGGCTTGAGCCAGGAGACAAACAGCAAGAACTCAGACTCGGATACATCAGCACATGTTTCTATTATTTCACTACGGAAATGGAACTGCCAAGCGCAGTCCACCGAGCTCTGAGGTATTGCGCTCTTCGTCACCGCTCCCAGTTTGACCCAGGCGATCACGGCTGAGTAGGCAATCGCCAGTTTGTCCAAGTGCCCTTGTCATGACCAGGTCGGTGGGAATGCTTACCCAAAGACTCGGGGCACTGCCATACTTATATCATCATACTTGACAAACAAATTGACCCCTTTTCAACGCATGCCAATGTTGGTAAAAAAAAAGAAACATGCCATGCCATCGCCAGTCCGACTGGAGTGTTTTGAGTTCGGGTTCCAAGCACCTCCATGGGGTCCATGGGGCTTTGAACACTACATTCCCCTATCCCGAACACCTTCTCTGTGGTCGGGCGGATTTTCGGGGATGGTGTTCATCCGGTAGACACCGAGGTGTGAGAATGTCCGGTGCCAATAGCATGGGCAAGTTCCCAGTAGCGATTTATAGTGATGATGGAATGATCCTGCTATCTGGGCTTTCCAATTGCATCCAGGGTTTCATGCTTGAGAACTTGCGTCACGCCTGGGCAATGAAAGGGCAATGACAGATTCGCCAACAAGTGCCGTGTCTTTGCCAGACAGTCCTGTATTCAAGCGTGTGAACCAACAAGTGTCGTGTGCCATGGGAGCATACCGAGCACATGAGCCCAAAGATGTGCAAGCGTGGCAACGACGCAAACAAGCAAGCAAGAACCAGGGAGCGTGCTTTGGAGCCTGACGACAGCATGCCAGCACGTTAGCATGAACCATGCCAGCGTGATAACATGTCAGCATGATAGCCTGACAACATGTCACCACACCAGCACATCAGCTTGACAGCATAAATCATGTCAGCGTGTCCAAACGCCTGTGTGCAACACGTCTGGCTTGGACGCTAATGCCGGTGGAATCCCGACGACTGCTTGGAGTATATAGCCCTCGATAATGCGGCACTACTTGCAAAGCCATGCTTGCAGTTGTTTGGTGACCGATCAGACGCTGCGACGGCGTGCTGGCACCGATCAGACGCTTTTACTTTCATTTACTTTCTGATAATGCACCAAACCCTGCTAGGCACTGTTCCAGTGACAAGCGCCAGCCTGGCAGGTGTAGCAAACTTTGATGTTCAAGACATGTTCGACGGTCATCTAGGAGAAGGTTTTTCTTGAGGAATGCGCCAACCCGCCACTGGCTTTTTGTCACAGGCACTTCCCTTTGAGTGGGGAAATCACCCCCACTAAAACTAACCAACTAAGAAGCCTAATGATACTCACGGGGCACCATGTTCTTTTGATGTTTCCAGCAGGGCGGGCTGGGAGGTGAATTATGAGCTGAACCTTTCGATGCCAGAGCTTGTGGCAGGGTGCTCCATGGCCTTGAGAGGCCTTTGGAGTCAGGTCATCGGATCCATCTACGGGCCTCCCTTCCCCACACCTTGAGACAGAGGTGTGTTTGCCAATGGCTTCCCTTGCGTTGGGACCTTCGCCGGGGTTTACAGCTACAGCTAACATGCGTGCAATGAGTGACGTTTGTCCACACCACACGTTTGTGACACGGGGTCAGCTGATGCCTGCCCCTTGCCTTTAATTCGCTCACTGTCAAGAGGACATGTTCCTAAATGTTTGCAGCAAGGATCTGTTTAGTGCGCTACCATGTGTTGCTGTGTGTCCTGCAGCGCTCTTGCGCTTTTCGTTTTTCAAATGCCCCACCTCTTCTGCTTATCGCAATGGCTGCCCAATACCACGATGACATGCCCACGCCATTGGTTTCCACACTCGAACAAGACAATTGTGAATTTCTACTGGCGGCTCCTGTCAACCTGAATGCGTTAGAAACGCGGCACTGCACTTCTTTGACTTTGTCCGGCCGCGAAAACCAGGCATAAACTTAGCTTGCTGGCGCTTGCGTTGGCGCTTGTCCCGCGGGACAAGATGGCACCTTCAAGACGAGCTTGCTCAGGTATACCCTGTATGGCACACGACTTCAAGTTTCTGCACGACTTCTACCCACGTGAAACGCTTGATGACCACTGAATCCATTGTGGCCTATCTTGGAAGCAACACATGTGTACTCAACATGTGTTGCCCTTGGCTTTGAAAGCCCAGATAGCAGGATCATGCAGGATCATTGAATGTAATTGGTACATGCATGTTCTTACAGAAACACCAGCGATCAAGCGGCATCAAGTCACAAGGTCCATCCTGTTTGTGTCCCATGTGACCTCCTTTTTCCTTTTTTGTGCGAGTTCCTTTTCGTGGCCGTGCTCCTAATAACAAGCGAACAATAAACCGGCTCATCAACCCGTTTGGGACCCAGTTTGGTTGAAGACATGCCAAGATGACGAAAAGGGCCATCTATGGCAACTTGCAAACCCATCCATCGGTATACTCAAACCACCCCATGCAACGGTAGATGTTTTCTTCTTGTGCCATGTGCGGAAACGGCTCTCAGACCTGACTGTATATCGACCCGTGGATCCCTCTTGACACAGAACATGCACAGACTTCACATCCACCGGAGATAGGTTTGATCCAATCGATGGAGGTTCTTGAGATCTTTGGCCGTTCATTTCCGTATGGAAAGCCGGGTCAGTGAGACCACCAGCTTTGGGTCGGTGCGGGGGGCACACGTCAAAAAAGACATCTACTCCAGGGAATCCAATTCCCAATATAGCATTCATTCACGGGGTATTACGAGCATGAACTGGGTGCGCCAATTCGGACGTCGTGCTTTTTCTTCCGTTCTGCTCGGAGGTGCCTCCTCTCTTCGAATCGTTTCTCGGTCGCAAGGCTGGTTCTGGTGAACCGGGCGGAACCGGGCTGGTTGCACTGCCCAGTTGGACCAGTTGGACAACAAAATATGTTTTATGTGTGAATCTGGATGAACAACTCCTGTTGCAAGCGCTCGGATGTTGTTCATGGCCCAAAAACTGAAACGATGCGGAGTTATGCCCTTCCTGTTTCCACCCATGCTCTGTTATCCACCGTCCCCCCCTGGGCAGCCAAACTCCCTTTTTTGCGGTCCTGGCATCGGTGAAAAACGGAACCCAAACATGAAAACGATGAGGAAACGTGAGACATACCTATCTTCAAACGGCACAAATGTTTGCCGGATACATTCTTCAGTGAAAAGACGCCGTAATCAAAAAACACAAGCTGTTTTAGGGTTTGCAATTACGTGTACTCCGCTGGGAAAATTGATGAGGTGATTTTTTTTGGGCTGGGTGTTTTTTTTATGCTAATGGTTTTTTTTCTTATGCTCACAGCGGGGTTGGTGTGCTTTTGGGGTATGGGTTTCTTTTTTTATGCTTATAGTTCTTTTTTTTATGCTAATGGTTTTTTCTGTTATGCTTGCAGTTCTTTCTTTTATGCTCCTGGTTTCTTTTTTTATGCTAATGGTTTCTTTTTTTATGCTAAGGGTTCTTTTTTTTATGCGGCACTGTGGGAAGAGGTCACGTTGGGGGGTCCTAGTGCAGAATGTAATTGTCAGGAGGGTTTAGTGCAGAATGTAATTGTCGGGAGGCTCTAGTACAGAATGTAATTGTCGGGAGGTTTTAGTACAGAAAGTAATTTTCGAGAGGTTTTAGTACAGCAAGTAATTGTCGGGAGGTTTGAGTACAGAAAGTAAGTGTCGGGAGGTTTTAGTACAGAAAGTAATTGTCGGGAGGTTTTAGTACAAAACGTAATTGTCGGGGGCTTTAGTACCGAATGGAATCGTCGGGGAGTTTCAGTACAGAATTAAATGTCGGGGGCCTTTAGTATCGAATGTAAGCGTCGGGGTGTTACCGAATGGACAATTATTCATGAACGAACCGTTCAGTGAAAGGTGATGCATTCGTCAGCAGAAACCGAAAAGTGATGAGTTCCAGTATCAACTGATATCAATTGTTTAAATGAACGGTAGAAATGTGGCCAAATGGGCTCCAGTCAGAAATCAGGGTCGCTTCGTGCGGTGTCTGTGTCGGTCCGTCCGGCATGGGTGGGCAGTGATCAAGCTCCTCTCTCGTTGGATCTCCTCGCTGGAGTTTTTTGGTTTCCGCCAGCAAAGAAGTTTTCATCGGGGAAGAGTTTGCATGTCACCATCCAAGAAAAGACGCGACTTCCACAGAGCCTCTGCTCATGCCACGCGTCAGAGTGCTTCCGATCCAAAACAGGGCCGTTCTTCTGCCAGCCGTTGTTCTTCCCGACGCAGAAGGGCTTTGTGGCTGGCATGGAGGGCAGATGGCCATTCCACCATTCCATCAGACAAGGTTTGGTTGTTCTACCGTCTCGCCCTTGCCGCCAAAACTGGAACTGGAGTGTTGGGTGAATTTCTTTGCAATTCCTTGCCTGTGCAGCCGCCGGTCAGAACTCGGCAACGAGATGTTTTTCCCTTGGCCCCGCTTGGTGGTAGCATGCTGAAGCCTGTAGACATGACAAGTGGCAGGTGGAGCGTGCTCCTCCAATTCATCAACGTGGTCATTGGCATTCTGAACTGGTTGCACGGCATAAAGCAGACAGTGCCGACTGGCAAGCACACGTTCGCTCAACAAGCAGTTTTGAAAAACATCGTGGATCGCACAGTGTGGACACTCACACGCCTGCAACATGCGCAAGATGGCTGGGAGCGGCTTGTGCCAGATTTTGTGCCAGGTTTCACTGCAGGTACAACTTCTTTCCAAGACTTGGTTGCTGACAGGGTGGACAACTTGCAAGCGGCTGGCTTATGCGATCCTTTGCCCCACTTGCCAGCCCATGTGCGGGCCAGCTTGGCAACACCTGAAGGAATCCTTGACAACAGCGATGATTCTTTGCGTGTTTTTGAATCTTTCTCCTTAAGGGCCCGAAAGACGAATATGCAAAATTGGTTGTCAAGCAGCTGCGGTGTGGTAAGTTGAGTTTAGCAACTTTTTGCAAGGGTGGTGGTACCACTTTCGCTGTTGGGAAGCCTGGGGGTGAACGCCTGAGGGAGGTATGGCACGGCCGACGTGTTTCAGAATCAGCTTCTGCACCTCCAAAGCCGAGACACTTGGCTTCCCCAACTGCGTTGACCTTTCTGGAGTGCAGCGATGGAAGACCACTACGCCTTAGCAAGCGCGATGCTACGTGTTGGTTTGACCAG